TATTATTATTTCATGCCGCAGCGGCAACGGCTTGCTGCAGCTTAAAAGTCGTATGTAGGTTACGGTTTTATGGTTGAGGAAATTGCATTTTAAACGTATTTTATTTGTCAGTTTCAAGATAACTATACTATGTAACTATACTTGAGACCTTAGAACTTATATCGCAAGGTGGGTGGCGCATTTACGTCGTAGATGTCTATGGGCTCCAGTAACCACTTAACACCAGGTGGGCTGTGAGCTCGTCCACCCATCTAAGCCATAAAAAAAATGATTATTGCATTATTGCAAATTCGCAAGACAAATAATTATTAATATTGACATTTTAGATTTGGTGCGTACAAAGTTTAATTTATGAGTGATTATAACGATAATTCACAGGGCAGGAGCCCCATTAGATCGGTAACAAGTGTCCACGCAATACGCATCCTTGGTCATTCATCGATGACTGATTGCGAACACATGCCGACGGCACTCGCTAACTCATCCACCCCGAACTTATTTAGGGTTACCACGCTATATTGTTCAAGGGAAATATAAATATTTTACATAATAATATACTTTATTTATTTTTAGCATTTAATAAAATTGTTTAAGATATTAATAAATATGTTTGTGCCGTCACATGCCAACTTATTAAATGTAATTTATTGGAATGAATGTGTATTGATTCAGTAACGTGAGTTGTAAATAGTAACGATTTTTTTTTTCTACGAGTAGATAGCGAGATATAGAAATAAGCATATTGCGATTTCAAATCTATTGTGTGAATAATTATCAGTTCTGGAATATCAATCAGTTTCCGATAATACTACCATAGTCTGTTTATATGGATAGCAAAGTTTCTTAGATTGTTAGTAGAACTGGTAAAATGAAACTCTCAGACACAGCCCACTGAGTTTCTCGCCGGATCTTCTCAGTGGGTCGCGATTCCAATCCGATGGTAGATTCTGCGAAGCACGACACTTGCTAGGGTTCGTGTTAGCATCGTCGTCAGGTTTGAGCCCCGTGAGCTCACCTACTAGTTACGGTTACGCTGGAATAGCCTCTCTAGGCTACCAGCTTAGGTAGGAAAAAAAAAAAGGTAAAATGAACATGCTTTATTTCTGAGCTCTATATTCGTAGGCAACCCTAAACAAGACGAGGGTTGTTACTCTAAGATAATTATCTTTTTTACTGAACGATCCCGAAGCAGTTTTAATAACGTGATAAATGCTGCGGAAAGGCTTGTCGGTGACGCGTAAGGAGGGTTTGATGCAGGGCCGGATTCCAAAGATATTGAATTAAAATTTTGATTATGAATATCATAGATGGTGCTATCTGTTTACATGATATTTAGAAATTTAACAGTAGATATTACTCTAAATTTGTAGAAGTAGATAATTGATAATATGTTCAATAAAACTATAACGTTTACATCACTAAATCAAGAATTAATGGGATCTTTGCAGACTTATCCTTCACAGTATTACACTTGTGTACTAAGATACTGTATGCCTACTATTACTTGATACATTGATTTGCCCTACTCAGATCACAATATATCTGGTAAATATTTATTATACTAGTAAATTGTTTATCAATGTATAGTTACTATACATTATTTATTTAATTACTTTTTTTGGTTATAGTTTAGACTGTACTTGCATTTTTCGAAAAAAATACTTTAAGATTTGTCCTTGTTGGAACGAAGTTCCTTACGGCAGGCTTGAAGGAGATAGGGATTTTGCTGCGCGACCGAACTGAAAAAAATGTGATAGTAAAACCGTAAGAAAAAGTCCGTGGAACAAAACCGTTAAATGAGACGTGCGCAGGCGCGACAGTCGTATACACGAGCGAGTATACGACTGTCTCTTTCTCCTTCTTTTTTTTTTATTGAAGCAATAGGTTAATAATAAAAGTATTCGAAGTTAAATATTAAAGTTCAATCAATCCTTATTACGTCCCTGTTTGTCTAACATCTAGTATTTGATTAATACATTACTTGTTACGTTATTTTTATTGAGCAACAGATGCATTTTATTTTTGCGCTTAAATTCTTTGAATCTCTTTTCTTGTCAGGGGATGATGAAGTGGGTATCGTTTTTTAATTTCGCGCCAAATTACGCACTTGTTTCCTTGAGTTTGCGAGTTTGACTAATGTCTTACTAATGGATAACGCGTAGACATTTCTTTTCGTTGAACCAATAAAAGCGATGTATTTTTTTAACTGGTTTCAACTGATTTGTTATTATTATTTAGGTGATAATCTCGGTTTTGTTTTAGGATTAATAAAAAAACAATATTAAAACATTTTACGGTTTAATTTTGGTTTGATTTTACGTTTTCCGACTACAGTCCTCACAGTATCCACGTCTACCGTAGTATAGGACCATTTTAAAGAAACTTATCTGAAAAAAAAACTGTCTGCAAACATTGTCTTCATTATTATCTGAAAAAGAAAAAAAACTAGTGAAAGCCCCAGCAAACATTGTCTTCATTAGTCTCTTTAATTTGCTTTATAGCGAAGAGCACACAGCACAACAAGAACGAAGCAATCTTGAACCACGAAGTTAGAGCGTCAAATGTATGGCAGTTGGCTAAGTTGACCAGTCGTTGGCTTAAAAGATAAGACGTCCGGTGTATTCGTATCTAGCATGCAACGGTGTTCGAATCCCGCAGGCGGGTACCAATTTTTGTGATGAAATACATACTTAACAATGTTGACGATTGACTTTCCACGGTGAAGGAATAACATCGTGTAATAAAAATCAAACCCGCAAAATTATAATTTGCGTAATTGCTGGTGGTAGGACCTCTTGTGAGTCAGCACGGGTAGGTACCATCACCCTGACTATTTCTGCCGTGAAGCAGTTATGCGTTTCGGTTTGAAGGGTTGGGCAGCCGTTGTAACTATACTGAGACATTAGAACTTATATCTCAAGGTGGGTGGCGTAATTACGTTGTAGATGTCTATGGGCTCCAGTAACCACTTAACACCAGGTGGGCTGTGAGCTCGTCCACACATCTAAATATAAAAAAAAGTTTAATAACGTATCGTGAAATTAGGTCCTACTTTATACTTATCATCTTCAAGGCAGCCCTTCATAAACAACAAGAAATAATTTCCCCTCAATACCCTTGTGCAGACGCCGTTGTTTACTGTAGTCATTTATCAAGTTAAAAGCCTCAATTTAACGGTAAAACAAACTCCGAACCCTCTATCAGTTGAGTACACATCTTCTGACACCTATCATTTTGTAAAGGTATTATGACTCAATCGAACTCCGTGGCTATTGCGGTGTCTACAAGCAAATTGTGGGTTACTAGCCCTCCTGTGTTTTGGTTATTACGGTATAGGTAATTCGTAGTTGAGAAAATGCACGCTGAAATAGAATAGAGGCTTATAATGAAAGACATTAGACGCTAGTGAAACGAAAGAAAACCTAAAAAAGTACATACCTATTTAATTTTGTTGAAGGAATCAAATGGAAAACTGAATTAGTAGCTACATACTTAGTATAATATTTGCAATCATTGGCTTTAATTACATTATCAATTCATGTAGGATTAAAGCTGTATTAGATATTAGTATTGGACGAGTCTTATGAATACATATTATTATTGAATAGTGAAACTCATGCTGTTTTATGACACATCTTAAAAGCGCCATCTAGCGTTCCGATATTATGTCCATTTGTAAAAGTGTTTGTATTTTTTCTTAGATGGCGCTAGTAATCAGCTTACAATTTGTTTTAGGCTTAGAAATTCTTTTGAATTACGCGATATTATTATAATGATAACAATATTAAAAAAACTGTTAAGTGCCAAGTCGTTAAATTTAGAAGAAAGTTTGTAATATAAGAAAGTAGGTATTAAATATATATCAGCAACAACTATTATGTTATTAAGTTACTATAGAGTACATAAAACAAGCGCTCAGTAAGAATGGTATTAAATAAGTAGAATAAAAATAAAAAATAAATAGAAATGTGTTCATAATAATTTAATCAAGTTCGAAAACCAAAAGATGTCTTTTACAGTTTTGTTTCATTGTTCGTGAGGGTATTTTAGTTCTAACCTGCATTCATAGATGGCGTTTAAAGAAAGTATCCTTTCTCAAATTTGTTGCTATAAAAATAATGATAAACAATTATTTTACCGTCAACAGTTTGAAACTTCAGAAATCTGTAAACTGAAATTAAAAACAAATACATAGAAGTCAGTTTTTTATATGCAAAAGTTGGAGTGCATACGACTCACATTACTTGACGTGTCAAGATAGATGGTGGCATTCATGTGGTAGTCTTATTAACTTACACGAGATTTACCGAGAATTATTCACTACTAGCTGACCCGGCAGATTTCGTAGTGCCTCAATCGATAAATAAAAAACCTAAACTTTTATATAAAATAAACAAAAAACAAACAAAATGAATCCGTCCGACGCGGGACATATCAAAGGGAAAACACTATTGTTATTTTTATTTTATTCCGAGCATTTTCATATTTATCTACCTTTTAAACCTTCTCTGGACTTCCACAAATAATTCAAGATTATGATTAGCCAAATCGGTCCAGCCGTTCTCGAGTTTTAGCGAGACTAACGAACAGAAATTAATTTTTATATGTATAGATATAGATTTAGAGGTATAAAAAAGATAACCAAGGATTTATTGTATTGATTGTACTTTGTATTTTGAGCATAGCAAAGTAGAAATGTGCCGTACAATCCTCAGAGAGTCAGTATCTTCGAATAAAAATCTATACTAATATCTAAATCTATAGTGGTTTTTACGGATGTTCCATTATAACTACTGAACCATGCATCCGATTGACTTGAAACTTGGTATCCATGTAGAAAATACATGTAGGTACTTAATGGACAGGCTAATATTTATATGAACATTGGACCCCCTAAAAATAATGACAGTAAATAATAATGATAATTTTAAATGCCCAGCGAAGCGGGCGAGTATGGCTAGTAAGATATAAAATTCTAATAATCGAACGTATCTTTTCAGATTATCGGCAAGAACAGCATACGATGCTGGATGGACGGGACCACGAACAAGACGAACTGGCTTAAACTGGTTCGTTCTAGCAGCTACACTCGGGACGTCAACATGCAGCATGTTTTATTATCAGGCGAAGTATGTTGTTTTTTTTAATACCTACGCTTTTATTAGCTTCAGACGTATGTATGTTAGTATGTAACGGAATCTTTGAACATGATTTTGACCCCCTGCAAAACGTCGGATTGACTCGAAATTTGGCATACTTATTAAGGACCGATGACAACTCAATATTTAAAATGTAAATTGAAAAAATTAGAGTTCAACTAAAAAATGAAAAATTAATAATACCTAGTTAAAAAAACTAAGAAAATACGCTTTTATAGAAAATCCAACTAAAAAATAGAAAACAAATTTTAATGCATGGTATCAGTAGTTATAAATATTTAATGAACAGATATGGGTAGAAGGTTTATTTTGATAATATCCTGAAAAGCACCCCACGTTTTTTTTACAATAAAATAATTTTTTCTTACACTATTTTTAATTAAAATTTATTAAAATTAATTTATTAAAATTCATTCCTTAGATGTGTGAACGAGCTCATAATTTTTATTTGCTGTCTTTTGTTCTTAATACAATGTCAGTGTGATTGTGATTAGGCATTAAGAAACTACTGTATTGCCAAGTACAGTTCGGAAAGAGTGCTCAGAAATCAAAACGCGCGTGACTGTATTGTTATTTTTGTATTTTCGTTAGTATAGTACAGATGGTTATCTATAATATATTGATATGTGAAGCAAAAATTTTGTAATCTTTTTCCGAAATTTGCGCGGACGGAGGAGTATAAAATTTCCCACACTTATAGAGAATATAGAGAAGGGAGTGCAAAATGTTAATATTTTCTTCAATCATGCACAAAAAATACATTAAATCAATAAAAAAAATACACACACATTTAAACTCTGTGTTTATTGTCAAACTTTTGTTAATGCTTAAAATCTGTGGTCAAATTGAGAATAGATTAATATTGTTTGTCGTTAATATTATTTGTCTATAGTGTACGTAGTCTTGGCGAAATCTGTGAATATAGAAGTCTTTGACAATCGAACCATAATAATGCTCAAAATTATAATTTCAATAAAGTCGAATTTCGACTACTGGTGGTCCACTAGCAATTGCAGCAATAAAGACACAATTGCAGCGCAAAGTCTCAACGAGATAAAAGACATATAGATGGGAGTTGGAATCTCATGGGTCCTGTGGCAGGATCTCGTGTGGGCACCAATGCGTTTTGGTTCGAAGGGTGGGACATCATACTATAGAGTTGACGTGTCATGTTTGAAATTGGTACCGTTTAATCGCTATGGACTCCGTTAACCACTTAACACCAGATAAGCCATGAACTCATTTGTCTATGGAATGTATTATTCACAATCACAAATAAGTCCTTAAATAGAAACTGTAAGAGTATTTTTAGTCAAACACAAAATTTGTAAATTCGTGATAATTTATGCTATTAGTCTTACTAGACGGTAGGCATCACTGTTCAGCTCATTTTTGCGGCTAAGTACTAATGCGTTCCATTTTGTTGTCTGCTTAATCGTTATACGATGCAATCAAGAACTTCGATCCATGTTTGAAGATAGCTGGCGGCAATCATATTACATTGTCCATTGGCTAAGGGCCGTGAGCACGATTCCGATCCGGTAGTAGATTCATTCGCGAAGCAATTGCTCTTGAGTTGTTAGGTCTCCTTTGGAGGCGCTCGGGCAGTTGTTAGCAAATCCCACACCCCTCCTGGCTGAGCCTTTGCTCGCCCACATGTCCTGGTGAAACTGGAAAGGCCTCCGGGCAACCAGTAATCTTTCAATCATTAAAAAAAAGGTCGTGAGCTCATCAATTTATTTAGTACTAGCGGCCCGCTCCGGCTCCGCTCGGGTCTTTAACAAAAATTTCAGCGATATTTGACGTTGTTTTATTTTTTTTAAATAAAAGAACACTTATTGCGGCATAACTATAATAGTTAGACATATGCTGTTGCGACAATTCTTGTAAATAATAATGTGCTCCACAAAAAAAAAAAAAAAGTCATAGTACATTATTTTATTCTATCATCAATAGTTTTCGCAGAGCACGCGATGTAAAGAATATTTTAGATTATTTTTTTACACCTTGGGTTACATTATTGGAGTTTTAGTAAGGATCTCAAATTTTTTTCAAAAATATTATAGCTTATGTCACTCGGGAATAGTGTAGCTTCCAAACAGTGAAAGAATTTTTTAAATCGGTTCAGTAGTTTCGGAGCCTATTGAATACAAACAAACAAACAAATCTTTCCACTTTATGATATTAGTATAGACAATAAAGAAGGTAGATAAAAAAATAAAAACTTAGTAATAATAGTGTACATCGACGTCCGTTCGATGCGGGAACCCTCGAAAAACGCATTGTAAAATTTGAATCTGGAACGTTGGTACTTCCGGTGGCAGAAAATCGGCGTACGATTGAACAACTGTGACATGCATCCGGTCAATCGGAGGGGAGAGAACAGATGCAATGATTAGATTCACTTATTACTACCCTCGTGCCTACGGGGTTAAATGCTGTTTGACATTATTAATAAATTTAGCGGAACGAAAACTTAAATTGAATATAATAAAGAGTTATATTAATAAGTTTATTATAATTAGTATAATATAGTAAAAACGATATATATATTTATTGGTGCTCACGGTTCACCTGGTGTTAAGTGGTTACCGTAGCCCATAGACATCTATAACGTAAATGCCGCCACTCACTTTGAGATAAGAGTTCTAAAGTCTCAGTTTTTACAGTAGATACGGTGATTTTCTTATAGCTCATCAGGTTTATTAGAATTGTAATAACACTAATCGACAACCCTAAGTAAGAGTTTGAGTGACGAAAACATATACAAAACAAGAAACCTCCCTACCGAGATAAGAAATAGGTACACCGAATACTTTTATCAAAAATCTCTGACTACGACCAAGAATTTAAACCCGAACCTATGGTTCAATAATTAGCTATGAGATCAACGAGGTCTAAAGCTTCATGAATTCTTGATTTGTTTCAAACTACGTGCTGACGTAGAGTTAATGATTCATTGAAATTATCATAAAATTTTGTGCGTAGACAATTTAAAGTTTGATGAAAAATAAACTTTATTTGGTTTAATAACAGAATACGTTTTCCAGGAACGCTACAATAAAATTTGTAATTTAAACATGAGAACAGAAATGATTTACATTTAATTTTTCAAAACGAATTTCAGATATGGTATAAGGCGACCCGAGATATTCCTTCAGGACAGGAGCTGCTGCTTGGACCTAGGACCCCGCTGACGTTCGAAGTATTTGTACCCAATGCTGACGGTAAGATTATTTTAAATTCGCTTCGCTGTAATTTATTATTGATTTCTCCACTATTTAATGGATGTCATTATAGATATGAACCTTCCTCTTCAATCACTCTATCTATTAAAAAAAATCGCATCAAAATCCGTTGCGTAGTTTTAAAGATTTAAGCATACATAAGGACAGATATAGGGACAGAGAAAGCGACTTTGTTTTATACTATGCAGTGATGTCGTTACCATTGCTGTTGTGTCGAAAAACAACAAACGGGTACATTTAATATATTTTTTAATTCTTCCAATATTTTCGACGTATTAGCTAAATATTTGCATTATTGATTCCTAAATTGACATTAAAGTACTTCATTACGACTCTCTACGAATTCCAAATTATTGGATACTCATTTTCTTTTAATTGTAACAACAGTTAAATGATCCAAATATAATTATTAAAAAAAAAACAGCCGTTCCAGTATATATTTTTAAAACGTGATATGTCACCTCTAATTAATAATAAACACTATATATATGTACATATATATGTATGTATACATGCGGAATATGTAAAGACCTGAATTGAATCACGGAGGCACGTGGTTCACGCATCGCTGACCATCCACCGTCCAGGGCGGTTAATTGGAGTCACCTGTCCCCGCGGACTGCGCGACCCTCGCCCACTCGCATTGCTTATATTACTTTTTCATCTACAGGTTGATGTGGTTTACGTGTTAACTAAACACATGTGTAATTAAAGCTATTTTTAAGATTTAAATTCGCGTTTTTTTTATAAATAATTTTTATGACGTTTCGTGTACTTTACGGTTTCGTGGTCATTGACGTCTATGATTGGTCATCCGTAGGAAATAATGTAACGAAAATTTTATAAAAAAAAAAAGAAACTGAACCGTAAAATTAGTTTTAATTAGATCTAGGACTCGCGAAAGCCGCACATAATACATATATATTAAAATCGTTCGTCTTATGGTCATCGTGAATATACCTATTACCCGGTCTGTGCGATCTTGTAAGAGTCCCTTACGCTACCGACGATTAGGTAGGAAAGTAACTTATATACTTCGTGAATATACCTACACAGACTACATCTACTATCTTCTACAATTCACCAAGTTAATGTAGCAGATAAAAACAAATATTTTACTTTAATTCTAAATTTAAAGGAACTGTGTAATTTAGATAATAAATAAATTGCGAGCTATTAATATCGACATGAACAAATCTTAGCAAAAAAATAATGTTATTCGGGTTCATTGTTCTAAACCAAGATAGTGATTTTTTTTTATAATCTAACAGTTATGCTGTTGAATATGAAGAGCTTTTCACGTCCTTACAGATCCTCCCGATCCACTAACGGTGCTTTTAGATACCACTAGCACCGGTCACCGTCCTCGTTGAACCCGACGAAGGGCTCGATGAGCGAATTAACCCACAGATACAGCCCACTGAGTTTCTTGCCGGATCTTCTCCGTGGGTCGCGTTTCCGATCCGGTGGTAGATTTTGCGAAGCACTGCTCTTGTTAGGGCCAGTGCTAGCAACACTCCGGCTTGAGCCCCGTGAGCTCTTCTAAACGTCAAGGAGAAGCTGAAACACCCTCTTAAGGCTATCAGAAGAGGTAGGAAAAAAAGAGCTTTGGTTTTCCTATTTATGAAAACTAAAGTGATTTTCAAACGTCATTTTTGTTCATTTGAATATTCATAAAAGCAAATGCTTACTTACTGCGTCAAAAAATCATAAAACGTATTCAAGTTTAAATTAAAATATTAGTCGTGCTATTTAATATGTGTTATCTAGATCAAAAAATCTTATCTTAATTTTTTGTTGGATGTTGCAGACATTAATCAAGAAAATACATAAATAAGGCCTACGACAATTGTTTGATTCATCGTTTTTTGCGGTAGATAATATCAGTAGTTTTAAATAACAATAAAATTGAATTGGTTTATATTTATTGAATGAATATTTTCTATTCAGCTATTATAAATATAAACTCCCTTTACTCCGAATTCTAAACAACTCATTACTTTTAAAATTAATCGTTCATATTTTAACTATACCACTTATTTTTATTTACGTTATTAACATTGTCAATGCGTTCTTAACCACAAACAATAAGCTCCTATACATACTCTACCACTTAACGAAAATATTTTCTGAGAAGATAAAACATATCAGTGTTCGGTTGAAAACCTTAAACTTCCTATTGGAATAATTATGATAAAAAAGCCACCTTCTATGTGAATCGAAAGAGGTTCACTTTTTAAATTACAATATCGACACATAATCTCTTAATAATAAGTAGGATCAACTCTTGTTTTTTTTCCACGTTTTTTTATTGTTTTTTTATTGTATTTAAAAAAAATCTACAGTCTGTATTTTGTAAAATCGCAGGTCGGGGGACACACCAGTGCCACGCGCGCCTACGATATTTAATTTAGATAAATCGGGACGTACGCGCCACCCCGCGCTGTCCTGTGTGAAAAATCACGCATATGCATGTAATAATGACACGGCTCTGAAATAGCTTTACTGGAAAATCTAATAAAGTTTAACAACGGTTTAAAAAAATGAATTTGGCTGTATCTATTTATCTATCAGATTGGCTGCCATTTGGACTTGTTCAATATAGTCTCAGAGGTTTTTAAGTTAATATTGTGTAATACGAAAATTAATACAATAAATAATAAGTAATAAGCAGCTACTGCTTTTAGTGCAATTTTGGTGTAAAGTCTCTTGTAGCAGACATACTAAAACTGTGATGTGAAACATGATAAAAATTGTGGGCGAGTGCAATGAATGTTTTGGAGATAAATTCATAACTATAGCCACGAGTACACGATTTTAATGGAAAAAAACTTTGAAACAACTGGTGGTAGGACCTCTTGTGAGTCCGCGCGGGTAGGTACCACCACTCTGCCTATTTCTGCCGTGAAGCAGTAATGCGTTTCGGTTTGAAGGGTGGGGCAGCCGTTGTAACTATACTTGAGACCTTACAACTTATATCTCAAGGTAGGTGACGTGTTTACGTCGTAGATGTCTATGGGCTCCAGTAACCACTTAACACAAGGTGGGCTGTGAGCTTGTCCAACCATCTAAGCAAAAAATAAATAAAAATAAAATGCTTTCTTTGTATGCTGAATCGTTTATGAACAAAATAAAAAGGATTAGACTTCTAGAAATTTCTATTTTATGTGAGCAGTGATACACATTACCGCGTCCCTGTCTGTTCTAGTATAATTACGTTAGCGTGAGGTCTTCAGACTTCCTGCACCGCCTTCCGGTGGGCCGTCGCCGCAGCCGGCGTTCGTGATTTATGTTTTTTGAATTGTACATAATTGGAACGTTGTTCACTTTTATCACTCGTTGACTTCAATACAGTTTTCGTTTTTAATTGCAACAGTTTTTTTTTTTTGTGAGAACGAACAACCTTTTATGAATTTAACAAGTAATTCATTTGATTACCAAATGTATGGGATATCGTCATTTGTGGTAAATGACTAGCGTGCTCTGTCAATAGTCAACGGGATAAAACCAAAAACGTTAATATTTCAAAAGAGCTATTCGTTGAATATTATTATCTATATTGCATATAAAAGTTATTTATATATTTGTATTGTCCCTATAGACTTCGAAAAGACCCGATAAAATTTGATGAAATTTTTCGGGATATTTTCAGATTGGCTTAGTTGATCAAAGTGATTGTATATAGTCGAGATAAGTAGAAGTAGGCATAGCGTGCCGATTTCGACTAGTTACTAAATAAAAGTCATTTATTCAAACACTAGAATTTTAATCGAACACAACTGCATTAAACAATCAACTGTATACGTGCAATAACAATGAAACAATAAGTTGATTATTCTGGACCCTCATCGTAGACCTCCAACCACATACGTTGCATGACAGACCGATATCCACAATGACTCTTAAATGTCCATAATTAGGATCGATTTGCAGCCTCCACATACATTTGTCATAAATGCTCCCGGTTTCATTGCACAAGACATGATTGATGATTCTCTAAAGCAGCTGACGTATCGCGCACGATAAACTGATTGGGTGAAAGCGAAAAGAAATTGAACTATTCATATGTTGTGTCCACGATTTGGTGATAAGGTTCATGTATTGAACAGTTATTCAACTGTATATAAATCCTGATATTTTAAATATTAAAACGGATAATGATTTATTAATACATATTCTGAAAATATTTACGAATTCAATATTAGAAACGTTTTTCAAACATACTGTTTTCTGTTCTTTTTTTTCTCTCGCGAAAACTTTAAAATATTTTAAAGTAATAACTAAATTGAGGCAAAATCGCTGTAAATAATTTTATTGAACTTACAATTCCAAATATTCACTTATTAAAATGATCTAATTTAATTTAAGTATGGCACGCATGAGCATCGAATTTAAAATATAACAAGGAGTCGATTCGATTCTCGTTTATCTGAAATCTTACATAGATGTTTCAAGTGTAAAAGGTAAAATGAAAATTCAACATATTGATATTTTCTTGACTAAGCAAAGGCAATAAAAAAAAAAAAAAAAAAAAAAAAACACACAAGAATAATTATAAAATCTTAGTAAAATTCGACAGTACTCCGCTGTGCTATTTACTAAAACTAAAAAAAATACAAATACAACGAACAAGAAATCATCCAAATCAGTCGAGCCGTTTTCAAGTGATGCTCCGTCATAAATATGTCGATTGATTTTTATTTATACCTCTGCAGGTAATCTGTAGAACAGTTGTTATTGTTGTAGTCCTAGGTACCCCGCTGGTACATAGGTACCCCGCTGGTACATAGGACCCTCATAAGCTGTCTCCACTTCATCGTGTCTTGCGTTTGCTCCTGAACCTCACTCCAGGTCAGGCCGGCAGTCCCCATCTCCCTCTCCACGGTGGTCGCCAAGTTTGCACAGCGCGACCAGTTCTTCTCCTGCCACGCGCCAAAAAAAAAAAAATTGCTCAGAAATGTGTAACTGAGAATAATAAA